TCTTGCTGCCTCACCCCCTCCTAGAATCACCCGAGCCGCTTCGAAGAAAGGTATACACCCTTGTTTCTTCTCCTTTTGCCTTCTTTATAACGCTCTTAGCCTTATCTTTAGTTCTTCTTCTGTGAAGGTGGTGCGGGTGCCTCACAGGGAGATTCTCCTCAAAAGACCCAAGCTCTAAATCTTCTCAAAAGCAAACGGTAACAAAAGAAAATGAGACTTTTACTTGAGCCTGAAAGGGAAGTACTTGAGGTTCAAGCAGAAGAAGAAGAAGAAGATGAAGAAGAAGAAGCAATGGTTGAAATTCCACCGGGGTATCGATTCTACCCAACTGAGGAAGAGCTGGTTTCGTTCTATCTGCACAACAAGCTTGAAGGAAACAGACCCGACTTGAACCGTGCCATTCCCGTTGTCAACATTTACGAGCACGAGCCGTGGCACCTTCCAAGTCCGTCTATCTTCTTTTCTGTTACTTGCACAAAAATAAAAGAAAAATGTTACTGATACTAATAATTTTATTAACACATTCACAAGTTGACGTGGGATTCGTATCAAGTGATGATTGATCTTATTAAAATTTGTGAATGTGTTAGTAAGATTGTTAGTAAATGTATAAATATTTCTAATATTGTTGAAAATAAAAACACAAAAAATTTATTTCCATTTTGAGTTTTCAGTTTTTTTTTTTTTTTACCACCCAACACTAGCTACCACCCGCCACCATTTTTGGGGGCTTTCTTCCGCCCCCCCCCCCCCCCCCCCCCCCCCCTTTTTTTTTTTTTTTTTTTTTTTTTTTTTTCTGCATTGGTTTACAAAGTAGACGTTCTTGGATAACCCTAAAATTTAAAACTGGAATTAGATGGGGTGGTTGTGACATTTAGCTAGGACCTATAACATCATGTTTACACTGCTTTTGAACCTTGCAGGTGATTGCCTTTAGTGACGAGGAGGGAGTGAGATTTCAATCTACTTTCTTAGGAAGTGCTGCTATTGCCGGTTTTTTACCAGTTTCAGCATTGCAAATACGGGATAAAAGGTTTCTATGATGTACTCGAAAGTTATACTAATTGGTTGTAACACTGCTTGTTCGAAGTAAACTGACAAGTAGACTTTGTTCAGTGGTGTGACAGTGCAAAATGTTCTAAAAGAGAACTCTATAGAAATTTCCGAGGAAAGCTTCTTTGAGCTAAAGTATGATCCGGAGTCTATTTGGGGTTATATTGAGGTATTGCAGCCCATGTTGTATATCCTGTGGTTATTCAGTTACACAACTTTCTCTGTTTGGTTTCAATTTGGGAATGTGTTGAAAAAATTTCCAAAAAAATTAATCACTAGTTTGGTGGAAAAAAAAATGAAAATATCTCAATCACTCGTCATTTTCATATGTTTTTCTCTTTTGAGCGTGAAAACATATTTTTGGTATTTATTTTTGTCAAACCTGTTTGTATATTTTTTTAAAATTCAGAAAATAGATTCTGAAAACAAAACCAAACAGAGTGGTGAAAATGAAACCAAACAAAAACTTTTTGCTGTGAATTCTTATCTTGTTGCTCTCTTAATTTCTTGTTTCAGCTTCATATTGAACAAGGACCTGTGCTAGAGTCAGTTGGCCTTCCTCTTGGTGTGGTGAAAGGCATTGCTGGGCAGACGAGGTTAAAGGTATTTGATACAATTACAGCACATAGATTAAAATATTCTTCTTTATGTTGTGTTTGGTTGGGAGATTTGGTAAGGGATTTGGAAAAGGAAAAGGAAAAGGAAAAGGTAGGTGAAATTTGAATAAAATATACTTATATTTTACCTAGTTTCGCATACACCTTTTTCCTTTCCATTTTCCTTTCCCTTTCCAAATCCCTCCCCAAATCCCCCAACCAAACACAGGCTTAAGTGTTTCTATTTGAATGAATTGAGTCCGCCTGATTTTCTACTGTCATTCCCTGTTTGTTGTACTTTTATTCAATACAGGAATGAACTGGGATATAATATTCATTTTGTGTGTGCTGTGACATATATTAGTTGTCTTGGGATTCTCGTAACCGGTTGCTTCAGTGCAAAACTAAGACATGGTGGACATTATTTGATCTGCCTAACTAAGGTGTCAATTTTGGGCCTCAATAATCTATTTTAGAATTCTGTGTGACCATGTCGCAATTAAAAAGCTTTTTGATGACGAGGGTAAGTCGCTGGCCGGTCATTTATTTCCATTCTTTGGGTAAGAGAGTGACTTTCCCTCAGACATCTTTGCCCTATAGGTACCAAAAATATGCAATTAAAGACAACCAGTTAAATATATTGAATAGAAGGCTCACCCTTGAATGCTCACAGGTTGAACTCAGAAGTATTATAGGCATTTACAAGCTTGTGAGATTCTTTTTTTAACTTTAGCCTCCTGTGCAATTTGTCTATGCATCCACATAGCTTGTTTATTGATCATAATCCAACATCTCTATTTGTTCTGCATCTTAGGGCCTCTAATTTATGAAATTATTTAGAAGCACTATTGCTTTTGATACCCCTTTTGATAGCCAATATGCATTTTGGTTCCTCCCTTGAAATACTATGACTATTTTTTTATTAGTAGCCTCTGAAATATTGTGTCTGATTGCCTTACTTATCTGTACCCTTTCCTTGCTCTATGAAATATCGTAGATTTTTTTTGGCATATGATTAAAAAGGCTCTGGCTCTTAGTATAGCAGAATTGCAGCGAGAATGCGTGTGTGTTCTGATAAAGTATTGCTTAGGGTTTAGGATTTAGGATATGATTGTCATTATTGTTTTGGCAAGCATATATGTAAGTTTCCTATTATGTGAAAGATCATTCTCCATGTATAGTATTTTAGTTTTGGATGGGTATCTATTTCTAATTCTTTTGGTCAATAGTATTTTGTAGCTCCCATGATACCTGTCCCTTTTAAACCATGCTAGCACATTTTAAGCCAAACCTTGGTTCTTTTACAAGTTTTGTATGCCCTCACTTTGCAGGTAACTGTGAGAGGCTCACAAGGACATGCCGGAACAGTCCCTATGTCTATGCGGCAAGATCCTATGGCTGCCGCCGCCGAATTAATAGTACTTTTGGAGAGCATTTGTAAACGTCCTGAGGATTTTCTATCTTACGATGATCAATGCAAAGGGTTTTCGGTGGAATCGCTTGTCTGTACTGTTGGAGAGATATCATGTTGGCCAAGTGCAAGTAATGTCATTCCTGGTGAGGCAAGTACTCAACTCTCTTGGGATAACTAAATATAACAACCATCCATTTGGTCTTGCCTATGAAACATGGACACCTATCCGGAGGTCATGTACTGCTGTTTGTGTCTGTCACGAACATGCATCACACACGTGTCAGACACACTGGAGGAATTGGACATGGTTGAGACAAACAGGGGACACATTGCGATAGACAGTGCCCCATTTCCCCACTTTTAAAATTTCACCGGAATAGCATATTCAAGGTTGTTGGATTTGATGAGAATAAATATATAATATTAAAAAAATATGACATAATAAATATATAAAATTATATGTTTTGCATGTGTCTTGTCATGGCGTGTCCTATATTTTTTAAAAATTTACGTGTTTGCTTGTCAGAAGGGTGGGCTTGGCGTAGTAGTAAAGCTACCCCTTGGTGACCTGGTGGTCACAGGGCTCGAGTCGCGGAAACAGCCTCTCCACTTGCGGGGGTAAGGCTGCGTACGTCAACCCTTTCCCAGACCCTGCTTAAACGGGAGTTTCGTGCACTGGGTACACCCCTTTTATGTTTGCTTGTCAGTGTTTGTGTCTGTGCTTCTTAGGCTTGTTGCTCCGTTCTATTAAAAGATTTGTGTACTCATCTATAGAGTGAAAACAAACCATCTCCGTGCAGGTAACCTTCACTGTAGACATGCGAACAATTGATGACATGGGACGGGAAGCTGTTATATTCGAATTATCCAACCAGATGCATCAAATATGTGATCACCGTTCTGTTTCCTGTAATATTGAACGTAAGGTGCGAGATTGCCATCTCATCTGTGCATTACTTTTCCGCCAAATGCAGTGTATGATTGACTTAAATACGGTTCATTTCAGCACGATGCCAATGCAGCGGCTTGTGATACTGGATTGAGTTCGCAGCTGAAATCTGCAGCATACTCTGGAATGAAGAGAATGGCTGGCGAGGATGTCGATGATGTGCCTGTACTGATGAGTGGAGCAGGACACGATGCAATGGCCATGGCTCATTTAACTAAGGTTTGTTCTTTTTTCACTTCAAATTCTGTCTAGGGCTGTAAAACGAATCAAACTATTTGTGTTTGGATCGTTGAAAGGTAAGCAAGTCAAGGTTGAACTCATTTTGAAACTTGTTAATTTTCAAGCCAAGCTTGACCAACTTACTGCTTGGCTAGTTTATAGTCCTAATTCTGTCTCTCTGACTTTGGTTTTCTCTCGGGAAAGTAAATATTTGCTGGGATTTGAATAGGTTGGCATGCTGTTTGTTCGCTGCCGTGGAGGCATCAGTCATTCCCCTGCAGAATATGTATCGGATGATGATGTTTGGGCTGCTGGTTTGGCAATACTTGCATTTCTGGAAACCCAAATGTAAACAGTTAGACCATAGTTGCACGGAACGGGGGTGGGAGCAGGATCAGGGACGGGGCAGCAAGGGCCTTATAGAAGAGTTTAAAGTTAGAAACGGGTAGGACGAGGCTCCCTTGGAGTTTCTGCTACTAAGAGTTAAGACACTGATCTGCTGGTTGCACATATCATTGGTTAATTGTACATCATTTTTAAGCTGACAATGATGCAAAAGTTACATGTACTTGTCAGTTGTCTTCAGTGAGTAATAATGGGGATAGTGACTTTGATCTATTTGCATTACTTTCATTATTGGGTTAAAAAAAACAGTAAAATAAAAGGCAAATGTAAAATTTGAAATCTCAACTGATTTTGTTAGCTCAGTAAAGTTCTGTGAATAATGCCACTACATTCTTTTTAATGTTTATGTAATGTGGATCACAAGGGTCACTCAAATCCTTCTCTCCTATCTAAATTCACTCACATTTCTTAGATTATATGAGAATTTTGAAATATGAAAACCTTAATCATAATTAAACACTATTGGGAGAAGATGGGTTTTTTCAAGACTGAGAATTCTTGGCAAATGATGGAGATGGAAAACGTAGAAAAAAAATTTCTTCTTTTTTTCCCTCTTTCTTTTTCCGCTTGTGTTTGTTTAAGTATGAGAGCGGTGAAAAGTATAAAAAAAAATTAAATGTAATAAAAAACAAGCATAATTTTTTTTTCCTCTTCTGTAAAATATCTACTACGATATTTCACTTTAAAATTACTCACGACTTTCTCAGAAAAAAAAAAAATGGTTTAACTAAATACATTCAAAAAAAATTAAAAAAATTCCTTTGCTAACTTAATTTTATATAATTATTATTTTTATTTACAAAACTGTTGGCTCTTTGGCTTTCGAAGGTTATTTTTATAATTATGAGCGTGCCAGTAAGGATCAATCAGTCCTTACAGAATTTTGATTGCTAACTAATTATCAAACGATTGTGTTATAGTTCTTTCAGCTTCAACGAAGAGAACTTTTACTGGTAGCTTGATTTAGGAGAATTTAAGCACAAGAACAATTAAATAAAGAGCAATTGAAGCATTTCATTAGTATGAAAAACTTACAATGATCCAAACTCAGCCTCGTAGAGGTTTACAGCGACAATCTACTTGAAACTACTCCTATGAATGAAGTGCAGTGCAGGAATTTAAAGTACAGGAATGTAAAGAACAGGAAATATAAAAACTGGAATAAAATATGTAAAGTAAGACTGGTTTCTTTGATCTGAGTCTGGGGTTTTTTTTTTGGGTCTTCCCTTCTATTTATACTCCTCAAAGATGACCAACGAACTGCACTTCAAACTATCGAACTGCTCCTCTGTGATCACTGATCATGCTGCCTTACAAGTAGTTCCACTACGCCACCACTTGCAGTTAAGCTTCCCTCCTATATTTGAATTTGAATGTGAGTAACTGCTGAAGCCACGTCACCTTGCATCTCTTTACTGATCCAATGTTACTCAGACCACGCAATAGACAATATCAACTGTCACGTGTACGATCAAGATCGAAGACTTGAACAGTCTTCTTATATTACCCTTACTCTACCACGCGTCGAACTGTAATTGGTCTTTTACAAAATATGTAGTCAACAATCACACTCATTCTCTCATTCTCTCTCATCTCTTCTCTCTCCGGTCATAGCCTCATTTGCCTCTCACACCACTACCGGCTTTGCCACTGTCTCTCTCTCTCTGAATTGAGAATGATAATAAAATTGAAGCAAATAACAGTAGCTTCTTCAATCTTAGGATTTTCTTCTCTGAATTCAATTTGCTCATCTAAATCTCACACCCCTTCTTCTCTTTCTTCAAGCTTTCTACTTGGGTTCCTTCATTTTCAAAGCCTTGGCAGCCCTGTCAATCATTCAGCAAAGCAAGGGTTTCATCTTCATGAAAATCTTTGAGATTTCTTCTCAGAAATTTCTCTGATGCATTTTACTTTCATCCTTAAGTCTATTCATCTTCAACTCGATTCATCTTCGTTCATAATTAGGGTTTCATTATCACCACCTCACTCTGGTAAGTGTTTCTATTCCTGAACTAGTGTTTCTCTATAATACAGTTCATTTCATTTTATAATATTCTTCAATTAATTAGAGTTTCTATTTCGTAATAATATCCAAATTAATTATGGTTTCGATTGCATTTTGTATCTTCTTGAAACTTGTTATGTGATTATGTCTATAATTTTCTCCTACATCTTGATTTTCTTTGATGAGAGTAGATTCACTTTACTTTATTTGCTTGCTTGATCTTGTTGAAGCTAATAGTTTAGTTGAGATGAATTTCTCTACAATTTTTTTGCCATTAGTTTGGTTGAGATGGATTTTCTTTGGTTTTTCAATTGATATTTCTTGTTTGATTTTCACTGGTTAGTTTTCTCCATGTGATGAGTTTTCTTTAGAATCAAAATTTTCTCTAATCACAATTATAATCATATTAACTTATGTGTCTTAATTGATCTTCTCTAGTATTTGAATTTTCACTGACTATCAAATTATATTGCTTGTTTGATTTCACTTGCTAATTGTCTCCTTGTGTGCAATTTTTCCCTTGAGATGAATTTTCTCTAACATCACAATTTTCTCTGAATAAATTGGATTCACTTTACTTTATGTGCATGGTTGATCTTGTTGAAACTTGTAGTTTGATTAAAATGAATTTCTCTGCAATTTCTTTGTCATTAGTGCCTTGATTGGTTTTTTATGGCATCTAAATTTTTCCTGACCCATTAGAGATGGACGAATTGGAACAAGGATTGAGAGAAACAGCTTTCGAAATAAAGGCTGAAGAACTCTTTTACGAAGTGAGAGCTCATCAACTCATGCAGCCAATGTTAGAACACATAGAGGATAGAATAAAGAAAGAACAGAAATTCATTGATTATAGCTGGACTAAATTTCATGATCTTGTTATTTATTCCATTCCTTATTTTTATGAGCTTGAGTTTGTGCCCAAATAGGGCCATTCGATGTAACTGCTTTTACTTTAATACAAAACTTTTCTTTGTTTGATATGGTTTGATCTTGTCTTTATTTGTCTTTAAAAGCAATTTCAGGGCTTCGAACTGAACAATCTTTTCCTTCGAACCTGGATTCGATCGTTTAAAATGAATACTAACAACATGACCATGAACTTTTCCAATTTAGGGAATGCAGATTAATCAGTTCTAAATTGATCTTTTCGTTTTGAACAACAGTCCATATTTTCAAAAATACGGGAGCTCCTTTTGAGGGCTGCACTGTTTTAGTTCAAAAAGTCAACTTTTCTGAATATATATATAAACCAACTATGGGTTTCGATGTTTCGGATGCCAATTTCCCTTCCCAAGGAATTTCTAACTTTACTTCGAAGAACATCACTGTCATTGAGAAACCTAAAACAGGTTTTTAGTCCTTTTGAAGTAAACAAATACTTGAGCATTCTTGTATCCATTGAGTACGAAATGCACTTCGAAGTTGGCTCTTAGTTTCGAAGCCGTTGTTATTGGTCTTTTGGCGTCGAAATCTAGTGTGTTATGTTTTGAACACCAATTTCCATCCTCACGGGGTCACAAGTTTCACTTCGAAGGTCATTGTTTTCATTAAGAAGCCCAAAACAGGTCTTTAATCCCCTTCTAAGTGAATGAATATTTGAGTATTCTTACATTCTTAAGCATGGAATGTGCTTCGAAGCTGGCTTCTTAGTTTCGAAGCCGTTGTTATTTGACTTTTGGTGCCAAAATCTGGCTTCGAAGCCAAACATTCAACTTTGAAGCTGGTATCAACATCTGAGATATGTTTTTTCCCTCCAAGAGTATCAATATTGAAGGAAATTCTTCGTATTCGTACTTTTAGTACTTAACGAATTTACGCGATGTATCTTTCAAATATAAAGACTTTTGAAATCCTTTTATTCCACATTCTGAAATCACTTGCTCGCTTAACATACAAAACCCTTCGCCTTTATTCGTCTCCCACTTCTTTCTATTCCATTTTCCAGCTTCGCCCTTTGAGAAAGCGTTTTATCAATGGCTTCCTCTTCATTGAAAGTGCCAGTTGTAGAGCGTGCGAGCCCATCTGTAGCCCTAAAAAGGCTCATTGATGCAGAATGTGAAAAGTACAAAGCTGGGGAGAAAAGTGCCATTGACGGACGCATCTTCATTCCTCGTCGTCATGTGCAACAAGACTATGTGCTTGGTCCCATATTCAAGGAGATTCCCATTGAGCTTCCAGCTCTATACCCTCGTCTGGAAGACCATTGTCTCCTTTATGAAGGTGGCCTTGACTGGAGTAACTGGAAGACGAATCGCCCCCACCGATGCTGGCCCACAGTGAGACCGAAGTGGCAAGAATGGTATGATCGAGTTGTCCCTAGTAAGACCCTGGACCTTCAAGAACTCTGCCTCCTCGACGCAGTTCGGCTATCCAGGTTAACCATTCCAGAGGACCCCTTTTTAGTTCCTGCTGCTCTGTGCTTTTGGAATTCTGTTTTTAATTTCTTCTAATTCAGATGTGGGATGATGGCCCCTACTGTGCTTGACATTTGCCATTTTTTAGGATTATCTCCCATTGGAACCCCCATTGGACCAGATTATCCTGACCTAGCAGTCCCTTTTTTCCTCCCCTCTTTTAACTCATCCTATAGTGACTTTGTCAAGGCTGAGAATAGAAGGGATGGTCTTGTGACCGATAGGGAATACTTTTCTTTCTTATTAGAGCATCTCCAATGCAATACTCTCACTAAGAGGATGAAAATAATGTGTTTTATTCAAAAAGTAAATATAGAGGAGGTCACTATTCATTCAAACTCCAACCACAAACCTTCATTTCTTTCATTCAAACTCTATTCAAAAAGTAATTTTTATTCATTAATAAATATTTAATTTTAAAATTTTTGTAAAATATATTTAATATTATACTCATTTTAAAGGTATGATTTTATACTTTTTAATGATGTCAGTTTTATAAAAATTAAATTTACAAATTAAAAGTTATTTGTAATATAATAAGAAATACAAAATGAATAGTGTTTTGGAGGGATCCTTCATTTTTTCATCCTCCTTTCAAATATGAAGGATGAACTCATTCTCCTCCCAAATGGAGATGAATTTGAAGGGTGGGTTGGAGGAGACCATCCTTCATATTTGAAGATATGAAGAATGGGTTGGAGATGCTCTTATATTAGCTTTGCAAGTTCCTTTTCTGCACTTCTTCGCAAAGAATTATGCCTGAATTTGCCCCTTTTGCCAAAGCCCTTGTGTTACAGAAAATGGTGGCTTTAGCCCCATACGTTCTAGGTCACGTATACAGAGCCTGCTCTCTTTTTTGTGAGAAACCCTTAGATGTCAATCAAGTAGGACCGATTTGGATTCTTC